TAACCCTAAAAAATGCAAGAACACAAATGCCAAAATACAAAAAGAGGCGAAAAAAAGCCCTTTTTATGCTAATATTATTACTCAATTTCTAAAATTTGGCCTAATTCTGACTCTCGTTCCATATATGATATATGCACTTTTTTCAAATTTTATTTTAACGGTACTGAAAAGAGGAGATATAAAAAGAGTGGGGATAGTGTGATAATTGATTATAAAGAGTGGAAGGTTTATTAAAAGATAGAGCTAAGGCTGAAAAAAAAAGGGGGGGAAATTGGTTGGTGAGGTTTTTGCCTCATTGCAAGCTGTCTTTTAAGTTTTAACACTCACACATTACAACTTTTTTTGTTTTCCCTATTTAATGTTTGATTTCATACAGAGTGTGTGTGTGTGTGTGTTTTTTTGTGTGTAAATCAACGGGGAATGATTGAATTTTTCCTCGTTGAATTTGAAAAAAAATTGCAAATTTTCTTTTCCCCTTTATAATTTCTTAAATTAATGGCAAATTAAGTGGTGCAATGAGAGTTTACCATTTTAGTTCATGAGTAAGATAATCATGGCTTTTATGATGATGTGCTCATTTCCTTTTTTTAATGATTCTCCAAATGGCATTTTATCATTGTTTTAATAGAAAAGAGCATATAGTTGTTAAAGTTAACCTCTAGTGAGCTCAGGTCGATTCGAGTTCAGTTCGGCTCGTCTGATAAATATATCGAGTTTAAGCTTGTTTACTTGATATCGGCTCAGCTCGATAAAAGCTCGCGCAAGAGTTTTGCTCGACTTATTTACATCTATTAGTGATTGAGATTAGATATAATATTTATCTTCTTTCAAAAAAAGGTTCATTACGAAGAAAGTTAGTTTTGAAAAAATGAGATTGATTTGAAGTTATAAACAAATATAAAATAAAAAAATATAATAGTTAGTATTAACTAACAAATAACAGATAGATAGAAATAAATAGGTGGACGATTATTTTTTTGTTGAATTTTATTTTTTAATTGTATTAGTGCNATACATACGTTAATGTAGTATACTATTACAACAATGTATAAACTTTATATCTTTATATTACTTTGTGGTTATGAAAACTATATTACTTTTTATATGTGTTTATGCAACCTATATATAATTCAAATTTTTAAACTTAAGTACTAGTATTTGTTTTAATTTTTAACCGTTAAATGATTCCGTTCAACCGATGAACCAAAAACAAGTCAATCCCAATCATTGTCGATATGAACACTCTACTAAAAATCAAAATACAAAATAAAAACTAAAAAAAGTTTTTATAAAAAAAAAACTAAAATAATGAGCCATTCACCGTCGGTAGCGCGTGGATTGCACATCTGCGGCGGAGGACGTGGGGGCAAGTACGAGCCCACGTCCATAGGTAATAGAATCTCGTCCGTCAAATATTGTGACGTGGTATGAATGCACAACTTCATCTTTTGTGGATCCCACGCGCTTTCAAGTCAAGAGAATCAACTGTTGCCGGCTGGACCTTTTGTCACGTGACCTTGTCTAGAAATTTGAGCCTCGCATGTTCTGACTAATGCGATTGGTCCATAATTCATACATCTTCATCTGGAGAAAATAAACTAAATATATATATAAAAAAAAAAAGTAAAATGAGCAATTGAACTTCTCGTTTTGCAACTCTTTAGTGAAAGCGGTGCGCTGCCATACACGTGAAGCGCTTTACCATAAATAGAGAAAACTTAGATAAAGCTCAAATGGAGTTTTATCTCAAAATTATTGGTGTAAGGAAGAGAACATATTAGGCTTATAAATTAGATCTATTTTTCATGTATAAACGATGTGGGATAACTCACAAGTGATATTTTAACACGTTTCCTCCCTTGTGAGTCCGTAATTGAACTTCTTAAATTCATATAAATTTTACTATTTAACAAACATGTATAAATAAAAGATTTGATTTCCCTTTAATACTTGAGTTTGGGTTTGAACCATTAATCGAATTCGGCTCTGGTTAAATGATTAGCCCAAACTCAAGTGTGAATAAGTGGAACTATCAAACATATATTAGAATTCATGTTTTCAAGCCTTAATTGGTCCAGTAAAACTCGAACCTAGTTCATGAGTATGGTCAAAGCGAGCAATGACTAAGAGCTACTAATTTTACTATTAAATTTATTATATTGAAAAAAATATGTTACTATTTTCGTGCATGCGTTGTGACAGTCTAAGCTTCCATTTGAGTTATCCTATCACTATTTCAGTTGTTGGTTGCTCGATTCGGTTGTTATCGGTTGTTTCTATATTGTAATTATGTGTTTTATTTATAAAAATC